GTTTTTTTGGTTTGTTGCTTCCATATATCGGTTACTCGGGTAGAAAGCTTAGTGCGTCTATATTGCAGTCCCCCTAATCCACTATCATGTGATTAGCCGAATGATCACGCTAGGCTTTTGGGCCTTTGAGGCATAACATTTGTGAAGGCAGTGGCAACGATAGGTCCCTAAATAATCGGAGTAGTACTGATACGCTGGCAGGTAACTTCTGGCGCCTCCTGCAGGCGGCTGCGTGCGCATTTTGCGAAGAGGACGCCTTATATAGGCCCTATCAGGCTTTCCAACGTACCGACCCAGACGCCAAACCCGCGCGCCCGCTCCACGAATGGACGTACGGCGTACTGATGCTTCTACTGCTTAATTTGCGAAGTAAATTATGAAGCGAAGGGATTGGTATGGAGCGGCCGCAGTGCTGCATGGATATATGAGTACATACATGCAGCCGTATTTACCGCAGCGGTTATTGGCACGATGCCAACGGGAAACTCGTCCGAGATTGCTTTTCGAGACATTAAGAACGGAGGCTTTTCTTAGCAAATTTTGACGTTTTAGTTCCTTTTTCATCAGTTCCCCACTATATTGCACCCAGCTAACAAACGCAAAAACCGAGTACCCGTATTAATCAGTGGCCAACCTGACCTAACAAGTACCAATTCAAGAAACTGAGCACCAGAAAGCACAAAAGAAACGCTTACTTTCTGAATCGACGGCGCTATCGATTTCATTGATTATAGTTACAATAAATATAAAATGGAAAGTGCAGAAGAGCATTCAGGCTAAGTAAGAGGCTTCAGGTTCAAGTGACCGAAATAGGTCATCCCATTAGACATCCAATGACGTGTAGAGTATCAAGTGTCCTGGGCGCTTATTCTGTTCATTCCATCGAATTTATTAGTTTTCCATAATATTGGAATAACATCATACTAAAGCAGTGGAGCAGATGGGCAAATTTTTAGGAAAAAATAAAAATAATAGCAATAAGCAATAATAGGAAAAGGTAAGTAATACTAGTAAGGCTATAAATAGCAGTGAATACAAATACTGGCAGTGATAAATGGTAATAAGGTGGTGTAAACGTTGTGCCTTGAATAGTCCACCCCGCAAAATCTCAAAAATAAGCTTGAACATCTGACCTTCAAGTGTTAATGTTCCACCCCGCTCATCTCACGTTTTTTGCCGGGCAGCGCTATTTGGCGCCAAACCGCCCGTCGCGCACCGGAAAATCGATGTAAATCTGCAATATTGGGGTTGGTTAGAATCCTCATTCCAAATAGCACAGAATAGCGGCGCCAGTGCCAGGGTGGACGTTATTTTTTATGCGACTTTTTGTTATAAACGCATCCATTCCGGTTTACAGAACTCGTGAGGGCACGAAAAATGACCCATGCCGTTCCTGAGAGGCCAGCCGCACATTGCTGGGGTGACACGAGTAGTAGCAGTAGTTCTTTCAAGCACAAGAATAGGTGGCATCGAAAGGGGTTGGGTCTGGTTTTGTGGGCTAGCGCGCAGAGTTTCCACCAATTTTTTTTTTCGTCTTCCCCTCCTTCTCAAAACTGATGGAGGGCGGATTGGATTTGCTTCAAATCCAGCCCCTCCCCCGCGGACACGCCCCTGCAGTCTCGGCGAACAAGACTATACTCGACAAAGTGAAGGGAAGATGGAATAGAGCAAGTGAATAAAATTCGCGTTAAAGCAGTGCCGCACGTTCACTTGATGTTCCTAATATCATAGCCCTCCCCATAAGGATGCAGTATGTACTAGTTTTGCATCTCACAAAGGCGAGAGGATAGCGCCTATCGCTAGTAAAGAGTCGACCGCCCCGCCCACCTGGCGACCACGACGCCCAACTTTCATTTCCTAATGTTGCCCGATGGTACTATTGTTCTTTGCTGCTTCTCTCCACGTCGAGTGGTGAGAGTGAGGTGATAAGGGAAAACAGCTGACATCAACAAGTGAGCACTCGTGCGACCGCACCTTCTCTTCGGGCTTTAAGCACGTACAAAACACTCTATCGGCGGTATGAAACTAATTTATAGGGCTATTTTTGCATGTTTATTCTTTTTGATTTTTCTTGACTGAACAGGTTTCTTGCTAGCCCCTTGCCTATCACTGTCTGAGGCGCGCATATTCTCTTCAAGTTTGAAGGAGGGCGCTGCCTTTAAATAATTTATTTACCGGGTGAAAACTCACAGATTGAGCAGAAATATTGCGGACATTGTACAAGTGTATTGAAAGCTGTTATAAAGCGAAGTAAAAGTTAATTGAAAGAATACAGGGCACAGGAAGGGTCATAACACCAAACCAGTAATACTGCAATAAATACTAGAACAAATACTTATGGTGATTAGGTGAGCCATGCCAGAACATACGGGAGCAGAGATTTGACTGAAAAGCAATCCAGTCAAACTCTGCTCGCCGATAATGTTTCCTGCTAGGTCGGGAGCGAACATTGATCGCTGTTTCATGCACGCTCGCGACCGCTCGCTTTGCGCTAGGCACTATTGAAGGGAGGCACGAATGAAGAAAATAGGTGATTCGTTCATATGTCCAGCCACCGTTAAGTAAGAAAAGGCTGGTTTTCAGCGACCAGGGAACTGTCCTGTTTGATGCTCACCCGAAGTGGCCTTCCGCCAAAAAGAAAAACCTATCACGCGTGCTTTCAGGCGCTGGTAGGAGTCTTGAAGAGCGACGAAGGAGCGAGCAATGACGTGCTGGGGGTGGGCGATTGCTGCAACGCCCTTTTTGGTTGAAGGCAGAAGGGGGTGTGACCAAACGCGCTTTCACGGGCAGTGACACTGGCACTAACGCGCCCGCCCGGTAAGCCACCATACCCACTGTATTTCAAAGACAAATTCGACGCTGGTTGTAGTGAATACGGAACGAGCCCCCGCGCCGTTGTGGGCTTTTTCAGTGAAGCGCGAACCTTCTTCAGCGACCAAGAGGCAGTTGCAGCCACTGAAGCAGGAAGCACAGTGGGGCTAGACTCCAACACCTCGCGATGCAGTCTGGAATGTGCTCCAAAAGAAGAACATGCACAGCATACCGGAGAAAAACTGAAAGGCAATACACAAGTTTTCAGGACATTGAAGTACGCTTCCCAGAAAGGAAAGGCAAGTTAGAGCACTCGAAGACAATATGGGACAAATTATAGCACGACAGAAGGTTAAGTGAAATGTGAAATATTATAAGCTTTTGAAAAAGGATAGAATAGCACTCAAGAAGACCGGTAGAGTTTTCACTGCGGTAGACGCTGGTGACGTCGAAGGTGGTGGAGCGTTGACGACTTCAGATGGCACCACTTCGGTGTGGCTTGTTTATAGGGCCACTTTTATGCTCCTCACAAATCCGGACTCGGACTCAGCCAGCACAACTGAAATAGGGTAGAACTGGCACAAAGAAATAGCACACTTGTTAGATACATATCACTAATAGGCAGTACATTCAAAATACTAATTGGAGCTGTTCGGTTTGGGAGGGCCATTCTGCACTTTTCACCTACTCCTGTTTGTTCGTGCATGTTTACTTACCAAGGTCAACACCTTTGGTGAGACCCTGTATAGCCTGCTGGCGAAAGCGTGCAAAAACAGGTGCAAGTGAGGCCATTTCGTCGCAGGAGTTTACAAGTCTTTGCAAGGTGACCTAAACTAGTCCTACAAAGTGCTCTTCGCTACCCTACCAAGCCAAACTGCACCTTTTCACTAAGGAGCCGATAGTAAGGCTGGCAAACTAGGTTAAAAAGGAAACATTCTGAGTCAACTGGAAAATGCGAAAAAGCGGTCGGAACCATATCCACTGACGTGCATTTTTGATGCAGTCTTCCATTTCGTAGCACAATGGCTATAAGTCTCCACCCATATAACGATCGCGGAATGTTTCTCTATGCAAAGCAACAACATTAGATAATGTAGAGATATACATATAGCGAAACAGCTAGATAAGAACGAGTAGCTACTGTTGATCGAAAATCAAGGAGATCAGCTCTTGGCGTTGGAGAAAATAGCCTTGCTCCAGACAACTACGCCCACATGCCGTTGATCAGAGGTTGTTAGTAGACAGTAGAAAATAACACAATCCCATACGTGAATAATACAATGAAGTCGCACTCCTAATGGTACTTCTGAATCATTTCGTAACAATTTAATTAAGGGAAAATTCCGCGCTGATTGAATAGGCGGAGACAGAGAACTGCCACTTTGGCGGTCACCCCCTGTTCACTGTCCTAGAAGAAGCGACGCACCAATATTTGCACTTGCAAGTGCATACCTGTTCATCTCCGCCTATTTGAGGTGGGGGGGGGGCTGGGTAGCTATTATTTCACTTCATGTCGTCTGTCCTGCCACTTCTACAGAGCTTCTTTCAACTGATGTGCTCTGGCTGCGAGGGTTCAAAGGTAAGAAAAGGATGGAGGAAGAAGAGAACACTAATTGTACGAAGGCGAGAAGTTCCCCGGTTGACAGATATGCTACACTGGTGACAGGTTTTTGAAGTCTGGTGTACATGAGAGGTGTCGACACTCTCTTCAGTCTATGAGAGCACAGACAAGCAGACGTGACGTGACATAGTTGCGCCACTTCGCGGTTTTCCCCCGACCACCGCTGCCCCGCTGCAAATGTTCCCATACGTGCTGGCAGGGGTCTTAAGGCATAGCTGAAATGCAGAAGCTTTGAAAAGAAAATAAAAGAGCTCTGAAGATAATAAAGGACAAGGACCACAAGTCCCCACATAGAGAACCTGAAAACTAAACTAAAAATTGCAAGTTGAAACTAGTATTCAGACCTAGAACCATTCCAGGAACTAAGTTAGAACTAAAGTAGTACGAACGAAACACCCAATGAATATTTATCATTAACCAGTATGAAGATCAGATCTCTCAATGATAATGCGTTGACCATCAGGATAGCGAAGAGATGAAGATGAAGCCTTGTAGCACAAAACTAATCAATAAATTTCGGAAAATTAATCGAACTGATGAAACCGAAAAAAACTGCAGCCTCCTGGACTCATTCCAAACCAATAGTTCTTGTTAAAAGATTAATTCTCTTTACAACATTTTCGACGAGGCCAGGTTTTCCTTCCGGTTGAGTAGCATCGCAACCTACTTTTCCATATTCGGGTACCTAAATGAAGCAGTTTTTCAAAAGACCAGTTTCTGAGGAAAGTTGTGTTTACAAAAAAATGAGTTCGACCAGTCCATAGCAAAGCGTTTGGGGAGGGCTTGTCCATGGACCGAATTCTAAACGCCACGAGGGCTGTGTTTCAGTGAAAGCCTCAATAGTGTGAGGGTGCGATGGGCGCTGTTCGGCTTTGAGGGAGGGGCGGGGGTGCACAAAATGGTACTCAGCTAACTTGTACAGGCCACCTTGGAAAACCTGTGAAGTCCTGTGAGCAGAGCGGCTCAGTCGCATCGTTTTGCAGGAGTGTGCAGGTCTTACCAGAATGAAACCTGTTATTCAACACGAGCTAACAAAGGAACTGGCGAAAGTGTAAAATGCCCTCTCCAAGCCGAACAGCAACCATCACTCAATTTGCGTTCCCTAGTCTTGTTAAGAGAGAAAGAGAGAGCGACATGCGGTTCTGCCAAAGGCACGATCTTAGGATTGATTCCTGCCCACGTCAGGCAAGCCTTCTGTACATCACCCCCCCAGAATCCGACGTCAGCGTAGCTACCCTGGCCATCTTGAACAAGATCCATCCCACGAGCTGATCATAATCCCAAACGTTGCGTCGTCATGGGCAGAGCTCAGAAACGGCCCCTTCCTTTTTCACTGTTTTTAGCGAAGTGGCGTATGCTGGCAACCGAGAATTTCGCCGTGTCAGCGGGCGTCGCGTGCGACATCGCGGCCGCTAATGACGACGATTTCAGGTGGTGTTGTTCGAGAATAGAAATGTATGACAGACATAAGTATCCACCATATTTTTGCCTACATAAAATCCGATTTTTTTTTTTTGCCCTTGCCAAAGGCGGGGGAAAGGCCTGTGCAAAATTCAAGGATACGTCGCGCCCATTGCGCGCGCGACGAAGCGGCAATTTACGATCCTTCTGCCCGTCTCCCTTAGAAAGTTAAGTTGCACCAACGAGGAAAGCGCAATGAAGGTATTCCCTATATGACAGGTCGCGGAATATGCCATTGAAGTACTCCCAACTTGCCGACGGCACTACTCTGTCCAAACCATTTCCTAACGGGAGTTCGCTTTCCTCCCATCTTAATCGTGGCGACGATTTTGGTGCCAGTGCAACTGCACATTGAATATCCTCGTTTTATCGTAAGCTCATGTTTACCAGTATCACCAAAATGCTGAAATAAGGTTACTTACTCGAACAGTAAAGTAATGCCGATGGTCCCATATGTAGCTATTTGACTGATCGTGGTAGAACTTCAACTTATCCGAACAAGTAAAGTCTTCGCCACGCGGCTGTCCAGTGCATTCGATATAGTACGAACCTGGTTCCATAGAATCCGGATACCTGGGACAGATGCAGTGTACAGTGGGAATTCACAACTTTATCCAACTAGGAGTTCTTTGACCCTCAGAAGAAGAATGTGGCGTCTGCTTAGCAAAAAAAGGTTTGGTGCCGGCACCATACACCTAGAATCACTCAAATGTTCAAAAAAATTGCCCTCAAGGCTACTATGACTGTCCGAGGTATCACAGGTATCACGTGTATGCTGTGTACGCCGAAAGTACCTAGGCCAGTTACGCCAGTACTAGGGGCGCTAGGCAAAAAAGTTTCAAACAGACGAGATATTCTTGTTCAAAGGGTCAACCCTCCTCCCCCCTCCCTAACGGAGTTTTTGTCGAATCTACCACAGCAGACTATTTTGATCAAAATCTGCCCTGAATTTCAAGACGTGTGGCAGAAAATATTAAAGAGTACAGCTTGAACTTGCCAGAGCTCCACATACAAAAACATTTTATAATAGTTACTGCTTACTCCTAATAATCCTTACCAAATTTCCGTGCTATGATGATAGGGTTTGTTGAGAATGTTGACATCACATGGACGACTTGTTTCTCTGTCACCCGACCCATTCTCAACTTTTTCACAGGGCGGTAAATGGGGGACAATGTCGCGTCGGAATACCACGCGGTAGCTGAACATATGGGTGAAGATATTATCAATACCAGCCAAAATTATACTCAATTCAAAACCATTTGATTTTGCGTGAATTCCAAGCCAATGGACTATTTACCTGTCCTTAATCAACGCGTCGAAATTCATAGCGAATTGAGCGGTTCCAACTCGAGGTTCGCCAAAGGTGTAAATTGTAATCTTATCGCCTGGCCTCAGACCTCAAAAATGTGGATAAGACTGGAAAACAGCTGACAATAAATACAGCCTAGCCGGAGAAGTGGGCCTCTAAGCTCTCTGATAGTGTTTACCTTCTTTAGCGGTACGAGCAGCTGCTAAAGCAGCTAGGGCGCCTCCAAGCGAATGACCAGTGAAAACAACTTTGTAATCCTTAAAAGAAAGAATGAAATTATCCACAGCCTTGAGGCAATTCCAGTAGCGGCGGTTACTCGAAATTCTCAAGATACCAGCAAACATGCACGAAAAGTAACTTACAGCATACTTTGGATCCTTCAACACCTGTTCAACGGGTGGCCACAGTACATCATGGCCATGCAGGAAATATCCACTCACCTGAATGTCTTTGGATGAAGTCTTTGAAAAGGAGGCTCACGGACAATAAATATTTACTGGAATATGGTGTTACGAGCGTAAAAGAGACTAAATTGGGCAATTCAGGAGATGCTGGTCAGGAGATCCGCGTTGCGGCGAAACTGCTTTTCATTTAGTGTGGTGCTGCACAACCATTGTGAACGCTACCCTTTACGTGAAAAATAATACCGCATCGGCATTCTACGGTCTGCACGTCACAGGATCGCTGATGTAGTGACTGCACTCCCTCCCTTTGAGGAAAAGTTGGATTATGGTAAACCAGTCGGATCGCCCGGCTGTCGCCGGGCGCTCCTCCTTCTGTGACATGGCCCGGCTTCGCCGGGCCATGCGGATTTGCCGCGTGCTAAGTTAAGGATCGT